GTGTAGATTCTAAATTGTTCAGATCATGACCCCTGGGGGAAGGGCGGGGCCACAATAGGGAATCCAAGTTTTACATTGAAATATATAGGAAAAATCTTAAAAAATCTTCTTCTCAAGAACCACTGGGCCAGAAAAGCTGAAACTTATATGGAAGCATCCTGGGGTAGTGTGGATTCTAAATTGTTCAAATCATGACCCCCGGGGGTAGGGCGGGGCCACAATAGGGAATCCAAGTTTTACATTGAAATATATAAGAAAAATCTTTAAAAATCTTCTTCTCAAGAACCACTGGGCCAGAAAAGCTGAAACTTATATGGAAGCATCCTGAGGTAGTGTACATTCTAAATTGTTCAGATCATGACCCCTGAGGGAAGGGCGGGGCCACAATAGGGAATCCAAGTTTTACATTGAAATATATAGGAAAAATCTTTAAAAATCTTCTTCTCAAGAACCACTGGGCCAGAAAAGCAGAAACTTATATGGAAGCATCCTGGAGTAGTGTAGATTCTAAATTGTTCAGATCATGACCCCCGGGGGTAGGGCGGGGCCACAATAGGGAATCCAAGTTTTACATTGAAATATATAGAAAAAATCTTAAAAAATTTTCTTCTCAAGAACCACTGGGCCAGAAAAGCTGAAACTTATATGGAAGCATCCTGGGGTAGTGTGGATTCTAAATTGTTCAAATCATGACCCCCGGGGGTAGGGCGGGGCCACAATAGGGAATCCAAGTTTTACATTGAAATATATAGGAAAAATCTTTAAAAATCTTCTTCTCAAGAACCACTGGGTCAGAAAAGCTGAAACTTATATGGAAGCATCCTGGGGTAGTGTGGATTCTAAATTGTTCAAATCATGACCCCCGGGGGTAGGGCGGGGCCACAATAGGGAATCCAAGTTTTACATTGAAATATATAAGAAAAATCTTTAAAAATCTTCTTCTCAAGAACCACTGAGCCAGAAAAGCTGAAACTTATATGGAAGCATCCTGGAATAGTGTAGATTCTAAATTGTTCAGATCATGACCCCCGGGGGTAGGGCGGGGCCACAATAGGGAATCCAAGTTTTACATTGAAATATAGAGGAAAAATCTTTAAAAATCTTCTTCTCAAGAACCACTGGGCCAGAAAAGCTGAAACTTATATGGAAGCATCCTGAGGTAGTGTACATTCTAAATTGTTCAGATCATGACCCCTGGGGGTAGGGCGGGGCCACAATAGGGAATCCAAGTTTTACATTGAAATATATAGAAAAAATCTTAAAAAATTTTCTTCTCAAGAACCACTGGGCCAGAAAAGCTGAAACTTATATGGAAGCATCCTGGGGTAGTGTGGATTCTAAATTGTTCAAATCATGACCCCCGGGGGTAGGGCGGGGCCACAATAGGGAATCCAAGTTTTACATTGAAATATATAAGAAAAATCTTAAAAAATCTTCTTCTCAAGAACCACTGGGCCAGAAAAGCTGAAACTTATATGGAAGCATCCTGGTGTAGTGTAGATTTTAAATTGTTCAAATCATGACTACTGGGGTAGGGCGGGGCCACAATAGGGAATCCAAGTTTTACATTGAAATATATAGGAAAAATCTTTAAAAATCTTCTTCTCAAGAACCACTGGGCCAGAAAAGCTGAAACTTATTTGGAAGCATCCTGGGGTAGTGTGGATTCTAAATTGTTCAAATCATGACCCCCGGGGGTAGGGCGGGGCCACAATAGGGAATCCAAGTTTTACATTGAAATATATAAGAAAAATCTTTAAAAATCTTCTTCTCAAGAACCACTGGGCCAGAAAAGCTGAAACTTATATATGGAAGCATCCTGGGGTAGTGTGGAATCTAAATTGTTCAAATCATGACCCCCAGGGGTAGGGCGGGGCCACAATAGGTATATTAAAAGGGGGAAATCTGGTAAAGAACAGCATGGCCAAAGTTACTCAGGTGAGCGATGTGGCCCATGGGCCTCTTGTTTATAAACTTTGTATCAATCTGTTGGGATCGGGGTCATTTTTCAACGGGGGTCAATTTTTATAGGTTTCACGTGTAGAAAATTGACCCATTTTTTCTACAAAAATTAAATTTTTTCTACGGCTGAGAGGTCATTTTTCAACGTTGAAAAATGACCCCATTTTCTAAGGGGGTCATTATTCGCCTTTCTCTCTTTTAAGTTACCCTTATTCACATACTTAGAAAAACCGTTTCAGTCATTTTCCTATCCTAAGGACATTCCATGTATACCAATCATTGTGACTTACCGATACGCGTTTCTGTAGGAATGGATACGAGATCAGAACATTAGCTGTCTCGTTTAAAGTCATCATTTCGTAAGTTCTATGGTCGATACAATGACCCTGTCAGCAAATACAATTTATCATTGAGTCAAATGCTGACTGACGTTTTTCATACTAATTGTTAGGCCATTATTTACACACTGAATTGTCGACGGATTTTTCCGTTATTTCCCGATCATGAAAAGGAGCACACGGCGGGTGTGACTGGTCGGCAGGGGATGCTCACTCCTCCATGGCACCTGATCCCACCTCTGATGTTTGGAGTCCGTGTTTGCTCTGCTTCTATTTTGTATTGTATAATGGACTTTTGAGCTTGAATACTGTTCGTTATCTCCATATATTTCATTGATCACAGCGTAATGCGCTGCCATTTTTCAATACATCAGATTTTAAACCGGTGGATATAAATCTGTATAAAAAATCATATTAATCAAATTATGTTCAACAGAATTTTAGGAAAGGTAGTTGACTATACAACATTAAGAATTTTCATTTTCTATTTTCATATAATCTGCAAAATGTCTTAATATGTCAGATGACTTCTTATAATGCATTGGTTCTATTGGTTCTTCTAATTACTGTAAGTAGTAGTAACTTAACTTCTTGAAATCACTGAGTGAGTTTAAGTGTTTGCGTTATTTAGTGCAAAGTTCCCTAAATAAAGACCATTGAATAGTAATGAGGAGATCCTTAATATTTCGAAATACTTGATACCTTTTAATTTGGTTTTCTTTTATTTAAGTTCTTTCTCTAAAGATGCTTTAAGAATTATTATACAACTAAAGCACTCAACAAGTACAAGGGTTTAAGTAATTGGAATTTTCTTTCTGATATTTTGTCACTAACATGATCATTGTATAGATTCCGTTTTATAAGGCTTTTAATTATTTAAAATGTAACGTCTGTAATACGCTTTCTGAAGCTGAATTCACTAAAGGAATACCAGTGTTAATGGACTGCCTCTATACTATATAACATTTTGACTTCAGCAGGTAACTTCATTTTCATATCCTAAGGACCAGAAAACATTTCCATGTATACCAATCATTGTGACTTACGCGTTTCTGTAGGAATGGATACGAGATCAGAACATTTGATCACAGCATAATGCGATGCCATTTTTCAACACCAGATTTCAAACCGGTGGATATAAATCTGTATAAAAAATCATATTAATCAAATAATGTTCAACAGAATTTTAGGAAAGGTAGTTGACTATACAACACTAAGAATTTTCATTTTCTATTTTCATATAATCTGTAAAATGTCTTAATATGTCAGATGACTTCTTATAATGCATTGGTTCTATTGGTTCTTCTAATTACTATAAGTAGTACTTATACTCTTTTTTTTTTATTAACACTTCACTTAGTTTTAAGTAACAAAAGAGTTAGCACATTTGTCCTTAAACAGCCCTCCCGAAACCTTACCTTGATAGTAAATTCGTCAAATAAATGTGATAAAATAATAAAAGTAGTGTATTTCTACCATATTATCTGAAATTATGATAATAACCACTGAACTGTCACTATACATCGTCCTTCGTTGTATTACTGACAGTTCGTTATTTAATGCTAACTAAATATCTTGATGCTAGAACTGCTGTTGAGAAGACATCAAATTGGACACAAAATCAAAAACTTCAAGTTACATGTTAAAGTAAAAAAAGAAATATTAGGATATGTTATAAAGTAAGAGCGTTAAAATCACAGGAAAACATTGGAAATTAGAAATCACTATTTAAAACAACTTTAGATGACTTTTGCAATTGTCATATAAATCATGAATGGTTTAACTCGATTAACAGCATATATAAGGATTAGATTTAAGTATGATAGAACTTTGAACTCGTATTGCTTGTTACACATAAAAGAAATATTTTGTCCTGTTTACGTGACACTTCAATGCCTGAATTATTGTTATTTCTGACGAATAAATTATCTAAACAATCTTCCACTTTCAATTTAAAATAATCAAAATTTGATTTGCTTAAATTTAAGTAAACACTTTAAGGATCTAATTTGCAGGGGTGGGGGGTAACGAGGAAGAAATTTTGACATTCGTTAATTTAAAAAGATGGTAACTTTTAAGATTTATCTCAGATCTACATTGACATACCGAAGGATGATCTGATTTAGTATACATAAACCCCTGATAATTCTGATGAAAATAATCATTTGTCCAATAAGGACAACAACAAAAAAAAATAAAAATAGTATAGATCTTTGTAATTTGTTTAAGTAGACCAGTGACATATTTTGAATACCTTTGGTAGACATCATTCATAGGAAGACTTTAACTGTTGTGAACTACAGAAGGAAGTTTAAATCACCATTAATTTGTTTTATCAAACACCGACATTATCCGATGAACAGGTCATTACAAACTGTGATATAGATTCTTCCTAGAGAATACAGGTAAAGAAGCTATCTTATTTAAGTTACTCATTATTTTTTCTGGAGAGTTATATAGTTCCAAAATTAATTGCTACAATAACTGAAAGGAAAAAAAATTATTGTGAGCTTTTTTGAGGCTGAAATTGATAAACTAACTCTTGTTGTATGTTAGGTGTTTAAAAGGGATTCAATTCTCCGAGAGTTTTCAAAACCATCCCCAGTCTCTTGCACAGATGAATGTGACAGACTTTGAAAATCTAGATAGAAGTAAGGACTCCTAACTCTCTTTGTTTTTCATTTGAAAATTTAATGAATGATGCAGGTTTGTCTCTTTGTGATATCCTATATCGCTTTTAGTAAATATTTAAGGAATTAATTTTCCGTTGTAAAAGAAGAAATTCTTAAATTGGTCATAATAAAACCCACTAAGAAACTTGCTATAATTATATAACCATTATTTTGAAATCGTTTACTAAATGAGGAAATTACTTTAAAATCTTTTTAAATTAATCAAAGTTTGAATCAAAGCAATTGATATCTTCGCATTTGAAAATGAAATAAACGTTACCAAAATTTGTAGCAATTATATAAATGTATTTGCTATAAAACTCAATTGCACATCCTCTTTTAAGTAGACATATGCACAAGTATATGACAATCTCTCTCTCCCCCAAATGTTAAAAGATTTTTAGAAAGAAAGTTCTACAATAATAGCAGATCATAACAGTACTCTTCTTTTATTCAATAACATATAGTAACATCTGGCAGATAAAGCGTTAAAGATTGTAGTTATTTTAAAAAAAAGTAGTAGCAACTGCTTTTTATAATGACCCTGAAAAACAAGAGTGGGTGGTTGCTTCAAATGTTCTGAAATGCTAGCAGACACAATAGGCACCAACAATAGAGACAAATCTAAATAATACAGTGCTCTACTCACCATGATCTGAAACTGATAAGCAAAATCAGTCTATTGCCTAAAATGGCCAATATAATTTTCATTCTGACAATATCAACAGACTAAACTGGGTTTTTGTCCAGTGGCAGTTTGTCAAGTATATGTATTTCTTAACGTTTTCCCTCATATTTATGAAAGTGGATAATGGAAGGATGGCAAATGGACATCAGTGGTAAGTGTAGATACTATCGACGTTTATCAGAAATCTTTTAACTAGTTTCAAATTAACTAATCAATAAAACTTCGCCTGTTATGCAAATTATCCCACGTCATTGAAGGCTTACCCAAAACAATAGATAGCGATTCCCTAGGTATTTCTGATATTCTGCAAATCTGGTACTAGTGTGTCGTGTCTTCAGCATCTTAAATGCCTTTTTTTATTTCCTAATTCTGTATTCGAGGTTTATTTTAAAATGCATTTTCCTACACAACACAAGTTAGTAATTTATTTTATTTTTATTTTTTGATTGACAGATCAAGCCATGGATCAAATACCAGATACTGCCCAACATTATATCCAGTGTGATTCAAAGTCATGCAAAAGCTACTCAAAGTTCTATTGCAATAACTGTCACCAAAAACGGTGTGAGTTATGCAGAGTTTCATGTTAAAAACAGGAAAACAAGACATCATGAAGTTGTCTTCTATCACGAGAGAAAGAGACAGGTTCCCTCAGAAAAATGCAGAATACATCAAAATGACATGATAGATGTTTATTGCTGGGATTGCCACACTCCTGTTTGTTTCATATGTTTTGCACTATACCACCTTAATCACAAACCACGTGATCTGGAAATTGTCTACAATGAAACGCTAGGAAAATGTCAGAAGGAACTGATTAACATCCGTAGAACAGTTATTCCTAAGGTTGAGAAAAATTTCAAGACTCTTACAGAGATTACAGAAAATGCCAAGAAGACAATTGAGAAGTTAAGATTATCCATGAGAAAAAAATCTGATGAGATCAAGGCCTTAGTGGACACCATTCTGAAGAAAAACCAATCCGTGCTTGACGATATAGAAAGATGCATCTTGGATGACCTGTTCATTCAAGAAAATAAAACAAAGGTTTTTAATGACTATCTTAACAAACTGTTCATTGACTATGATCGTGAATTGTCAAGAATAAAACCAACGGAACTTTCTAAATTCTATAAAAAGATCTCATCAGTTACAGAGAAGATGCCTGGGGTGACAAGACCAACACTACCAGACTTTAAACAAGGGATAATGAAAAAGGAAGAAATATCTGAACAGTTTGGTGTCATTGATATAGTCATAAAACCATTTGTGGAGGAAAAAAGCCAGACCAATTGGACACTTTCCCCTTCTGTAACACAATTAAAAGAAATTACGATCCCTGACCTTGATGTCGTCTGTCATTTATCTCCGTTACCGCCAGGAAAATTCTGGGCCAGCGACAACGAGGGAAATCTCGTACATTTTGATATGGATGGAAATATCTTAGGTAAAATATCCACTAATGTGAATAATACCACTGGTTACCACACAGTTACCACTGATGGGGAACTACTGTACATTGATGTCAATAGGAAAGCCATTAACAAAGTGGAAAATGATACGAGATCAATGTTAATCATAACCTCAGACGTCTGGGAACCAGTATCCATATACGCTTCACGTATTAATGGAGACATATTAGTGGGAATGAAGAAAGAGAAAGAAAGAAAAGTGACAAGATACATCAGCCAAGTAAAAGTCCAGGAAATCCAGAAAGATGATAAAGGACAGAACTTATATCAAAGTATTCGCTATATCACAGAAAACGTCAATGGTAACATCTGTTCATCAGATTCTGCTGCCAAAAAGGTAGTCGTGGTGACTAATTTTGGGCAGTATAGATTCTCCTATTTCGGTCACCAATCTCAGTCTGCATTCCTTCCTTATGGCTTAAGTACAAACGTACTAGGAAATATATTGGTTTGCAATGGTTATAATCTTACGGTTTCTAGTGTTCATCTCTTGGATCAGGACGGTCGGTTTCTTTCTTTCTTACTCACACCACAACAGTGTCCTCCATATCCCCGTGCTCTCTGTATTGATGATAAACACAACATTTTGATTGGACGTTGATAAAATCCACTGTCACTGCATATAAGTATCTCAGTAGATAAACAAATAAAATCTTTGAATAACATTTGTTAAACTGAGCCTTTTTTCAGTTTCAATGAAATTTACATTTCAGATCGACAATGTATCTATCGTGATCCATCAAGTACCTATCAATATATACTTAATGAAAAAAATAACATTAATATAGAAAGCGTATTCTTAAAACAAGTTGCGTCTTTATCCTTTATAGAACATTAAATATCCCTGTGTACCCTATTACGACCCAATTTTCTTCTCCTTATTTCCATTCTTATTTTCCTGTCTTATTTCTTACAATAAATTATAATATATCACAATATTATTAATATTATCACAATATGATATAATATATATATAACTGGTATTCTATGATCGATGCAATGACCTTGTCAGCAAATTCGATCAGTTTATCTTTAAGTAGAATGCTGATTGGCGTTTTTCATACTAATAGTTAGGCCATTTTTTACACACTGTCGACAGGCGATGCTTACCCCTCCATGGCGCCTGATCCCACCTCTGATGTTTTTAGAGGTCCGTGTTTATTCTGATCTCGATTTGTATTGTTTCAATGGACTTCCGAGCTTGATTATTGTTGGTTATCTCCATATTTCATGGTAAATATACAGTTGTCAAAGTGCACTCTTGTCATTAATTGTGCAATTTAAAATAAAATACACCAGAAACTGTTATTTCTTTTCGAACTTCGAATCTTATTTATTCAAAATAGTTTACTTTAGGTAATTGCAGTATACATTTCGCGTTTTTAATTTGTTTTTTGTTCATTTATGTATTCCTTATAGTTTACCCTACAAGAAATTGCTCAAAAGTAATACATGTAATAGTTTCGGGGGTAATAGAAGGTTGTACCAATTTTGCCTTTTCTGAGACAATCATCCAATCAGCATAAAATATATAAAAATAACAAAACTCTATGCAAAAATGTTTTCATTGAAATGGGAACTAGACATCAGTCGTTAACATGGTAAATTGTCTTTCCTAAAACGTTAAATTATTGATTGATTGATTGGTCATTGTTTAACGCCGATACGGCAGTATTTCAGCCATATATCGACGATCAAATGTATATATATCTTTTTTGTTTATAAAGTTATTAAACCTACTAAAATTAATTTGGAATGCATTTTCAGGTATTTGATTTCTTTTCCGATACGACTTCCATATTTGAGTAAATTTTTGATAGGAATTATATAGAAATATTGAACCTCATTACCATATTTATCAGCTAAATTTCTCACCTGCGATATTTTGGAATAAATAAATTTTAAAAGTAAAAATCATACATACATACATCTTTTATTTGAATCTTAAAAATTTTAACATTAGAAAACATATAACAAGATAAACTGAAACCCCATTGAATTCGTTTTCTTTTAAACTACATGGATTTTTTTTAAATATCTGTTTATTGATTGATTGATTGTATATTGTTTTACGTCCCATTCGAGAATTTTTCACTCATATAGAGACGTCACCATATACCGGTGAAGGGCTTCAAATTTTGACCTTTACTCGGCACTCAGGGCCATTGAGCAGTGAGGGATCTTTATCGTGCCAACGCCTGCCGTGACACGGGGCCTCGGTTTTTAAGGTCTCATCCGAAGAACCCGCAACTCTCACTTCAAAGTGCCGAGCGCATGGCGAAGGAACAGTTGCTACCTATTTTTTATCGACTTAGGTCTGTCGCGGCCGAGATTCGAACTCACGACCTCCCGATCACGGAGCGAGCGCTCTACCGACTGAGCTACCGTGAACGGTTAAATATCTGTTTAAATGATATGTGTAATCATTTAGCAAACAATCATATTACGTTGCTAAAGATAGAAAACATATTCCGTTATATTATAACATCATGAATGGGTTTGAAACCGTTTACACTTTGGAAAGACAAACCAGTATAAAACTTTATTTATTTCAAATTATCAAATGTAGTGCTCCGCATTCAAGACAAAATCAAATATAACGGTTAAGCTATGGTAATTTGATTACATGTGTTTTCGATTTTCTTTGTTTTCCCTTAGAAAATAACGTTACAAGTGACATAATGATGTAAACAATTTTTATTAGCTCACCTGAGCTGAAAGCTCAAGTGAGCTTTTCCGATTACATTTTGTCCGTCGTCAGTCTGTCTAGCTGTCTGTCTACTTGTAAGTCCGTCTGTCCGGCCGGCCATCTGTAAATATTTCACATTTTCGACTTCTTCTCCAGAACCACTGGGCCAATTTCAAACAATTTCAGACTTGCCGTATCATTGCATAAAGGGAATGCAAGTATATTAAAATTAAGAGCCACAACATCTTTTAAGAAAAGATAATTAAGAATTGGTGAAAATTTGGTGGCATCTTTTAAAAATCTTCTTCTGAAAAGCACGATAGATATGGGAGAATCCTCAGGTATTGTAGATTCAAGTTTGTTCAAACCATGACCCCTGGGACAAGGTAGGGGCCACAATGGGGAATACATTTTACATAGGAATATATAGGAAAAATCTTTTAAAATCATTTCTTGAAGAATAGCAAAGCCATGATTAGTCAAATTGTAATGAAAGTATCTTCAGGTAGTGTAGATTCAAGTTTGTTCAAATCATGACAGCCAGGGACAGCTAGGCTCTGAGAACGCCGGGATGGGGCCCGCTTCCCTTTTTCTGGGTTTAGTATTTTGCTATGGTAAATTTTCCTTTAGATGTTAGATCCCCCCCCCCCACTTTTTGATATTGTAAGGTCGAGCAATGGCAAATTCCTGGATCTAAACAATAAATTAGCCTTTTTTGTTTGTCAGGTTATTTTGGGAAGTCTCCCCCAACTTGTGTTTTTTTTTTTTTTTTTTTTTTTTTTTTTTTTTTTTTTTTTTTTTTTGGTCAGTTGAATTTTCTTTTTGGTGTCATATTTTTTGAAAGTTGCCCCCCCCCCATTTTGAAACCGCTGCTACCGGCCTGCAGGGGTAGGGATGGCGCCACATCTTTACAAATCTTTTTCTCAAGAACAACAAAGCCATGATTAGTTATATGAATGTGTAAACATCCTTAGATAGTGCCAATTCAAGTTTGTTGAAATAGCGACACCTGGAGGTAGGTTTGGGTCACAACATGGAACAAAGTTTTACATTGAAATACATCATAGAAAAATTTCTGCTAATGAAGAACAGCAGGGTCATTCTGACACAGGTGAGCTTTGTGGCCCATGGGCCTCTTGTTTTGGGGCGAATTGTTTTTCAATGCAAACATATATACATGTACTACATTTTGATTGCAATGACTTTAACATATTTAGAAACTATTCGAAGACTAATTACAATTAACTGCAGCAAGAATGGTACAATTAATGAGACCATATCCAGAAAGAAGACAAAATTCCAAGGATTCCTCAGTTCCGTCACAAAACAATGACAAATTCAAAGTTGTTCCATTCAGACCTGTTTTTGGACTGGCGTCCCTAAAAAATAATTAACCGATAACGATAATAGACATAATATCAATAGTGGTGGCTGACAAACTGTCGTTGTCTTCAGAATAACATACACCTAAATTTGAGGCAGGAAAAATCCTAATTTAACGTAATGGATTTATGTTTTTGAGGCGTATTTATCTTCATATTTATCGAATGTGCCTGTAACAAATACAGCTAAAACGCTAAAGGAGGAATCATCAGTTGTTCTTACTTTGGAGGAGTAGAATTGAATGTATTGCAATTGAACATCATAATTGAAAATGAGTATACGTCTTATTATAATGGTCATTTGGAATGAACTCAAAACTCTGTCATAATCATACTGTGGAATTATGACAAATCTTAGCAATGGTAAAACAGAAAAAAGAATTTTTTTTTCAAAAACAGTGGTACATTATATAAGTCAATCTTCAAACAAATAAAAATGTTCTTTTTCATATTTGAACAAACGAAATTTCGATAGAATGGCTTAATATTAATTAGAAAAACGATAAGTCGACTTTTGTTTTTGCTCGAAGCTCCATTTATACATCTACGATCGAGTGTAACAATAAGAATATGTTTTGGTATATATCTTCATTATTAAAATGTTAACTAAAGGGGATAACAGTGTAATCATCCCGGCTTATTTTTGGCATTTCAAGTCCTTGGAAAGCAAAGGCAAATAATAAATAAATATTCTTTATTTATCATTCACTTACTTGGTGTACCCCATTGTCTTACACACAACATTGGCAGCATTATCGGTTAGGTTCCCACACAGACTTCCCCAGCCATCTCCAAACGAAGCTTCAACAACAGAGTCGAAAGACAATCGGAAGGATATTTTACCGTCTGTAAATAAGATGGTAGTATTCTAATTGCAATCACAAACATACGTATTGCTAATAGGATTTAGATGCAGGAATATCCAGTTTTATACAAATTATGTATTGATTTAAATACAATTTCTAAAAAAAATTAGTTTATTTGAAACAAAAAGACTACGAGCTGCGAATTTAAATACAGAGGCAAATTAAATGTTCGTTAGAATTTTAAAATTAACTTTTAAAGTACAAAATAGGCTAAGAACCCTTTCTGGCCCCCTGGTTTAGGTTGTCTCTTAGCACGGCACAGCACTTTATAATCAAAGAACCTGTTGTCATCCTTGTTACAAAATGAGTATTGATTTTTAAGTGATAGCATACACAGCGATCAGAGGAAGGTCACAAAATTGGAAAATTAGTAAATTTCATTAATTTTAAACCACGTTTTGTTTAGAAAACACAGAGCACAAGCTTGCCTACCTAGCAAATTTATATATTTAATGCACCTGTGTGAGATACATCTTGTGTATGAAAATCTCAGATAGGCAAGCTTGTGCTCTATAATTTCAAAGGTGTATAGCATCATTCTCAGATTTCATGAATTTCATAAAAAATGAGGAAAATTGGTAAAATGTCCCACTCTTGTGGCCTCCGTGTACACTTTGAACTAAAATCCATGCTGCTTATAAAATAAACATTATTTAAAGTTCTT